AAAAATTCGTTCGCAGCTCGGACCTTAACCGCAATCGTATATGTAAATGAACGTGCATTTTTGACAAACGACCGCTCGAGCAATATTTCTACTTTTTAGTGAACTGGAAATTTGCATTTTTTCAAAAAATTTACATTTGTCATTTTTTCATAAAGTGAGCATTTACTGAAAAAACGACCTGACTTCATGCAAAAAACCGATAATTATGCACCTGGATGTCCGTGCGACTCCATAATTCACCACCTTCATCCCAACTGATGCCCTTCTTCCTGCATGCCAGAAAAGATCAAAGCACGGTCAATATTAGCCCAAGTGTTAGGCTACAGAGTAGGGATCATTATAGCGATCTGCGAGCTTAGTGCAAAAACGCATGATCGCACCGGGGAGCCTGGTGCGTTCCAGCCTGGGTTGCAATTTGCATATAGGCAAGAACTCATAACAAGAAAGCACATGGTGTGGGCATATATTCCCGAAGGTACAGCCTTTCAGCTTTCTAGTTCTCGAGTTGAAAGTGGGTGGCAAAAAGCGCGAATAAACAGATATACACACAAACAGCCTCTTGCCAGTATGTGTTTTTGCATTTGCATATATGCCAATCTGATTATCCCTGTTGAGTATTTTATTTAGTTTTCCAAATGGGAAAATGATAATAAAAATCGAAAGGGATAGTAATGGGGATCTGGTGGTGATAAAGAGGGAAGTAACATCCTGGAGCGAGTCTGTTGCTCTGGGAAACAAACAACTCGTTGACTCATATCTGCATTTCAAGGGACTTAAAAAATTACAGCTTTTAATAATTAAAGTAAGCGCTGGCTGTTAACTGGGAGAGTGAAGTATTAGGCACATTTTAAAACTAAAAAAAGGAGAAAAATAAATGCCAACGCACCGACTGCCAGTGCGAAGGGTGCTTTTTTGCACATTTCCCTGCAGATTTTTGTCGCTAGTAGCATTATTTTTTCCGGCAGATGCTTTTAGCTAAAAGAATTGAGACTGGCCAAAGAAATGAGATTGGCCCAGGACTGTTAGGAAACATCCCTTAAAATTTCAGTCTTCCAACTTCCCAGGTTCCCAAATTAGCTGCTCACCCGAAAAAAACTTTCACGGACCCGGGTATAGAAACGACGCATACCTGGAGGCTGGGCTTGAACACATTTAGACCTATGTGGACAGGAAATATCCCCTTAAAATTATAACTTTTATTTTTTTTAGCTTTTCAGGTCCTTAAGTTAGCAACTTATCCACAAAAAACTTTCATGGGCCGTATGTGTGAACGACGCACAGCCAGAGGCTGGTTTTGAACTCATTAAGGCCGACATAGATGGAGGATATCTCTTTAAATTTCAGCTTTCTAATTTTTCTGGTTTCCAAGTCAGCAACTTACCTGCAAAAAATCTTCTATGGAAATATACGTGTGAACCACGTGGGTAAGAGCGCCCATTTTGGGGATGGGAGCCCGTATGTGTATGTAGATTAAATCCCCAAAGTTTCAACTGTAGCTTTTGTAGGTCTCGAGATGAAAAATCGGTAAAGACACACACACAGACAATCTCTCGACAATATGCGTTTTTGTATTGCATAGATGCAAAAAAAAAAACATAACAAATCCGGAAAATGAACTCTGTATCGCAGTTTTCAATCAGAAACTGAAGAAATTTCTTTACCCTCTATTCAGTAATATGGCAAAAAACATTCTTCAATGACTGGCAGTGAAATTTAAAAATGCATAAAATTTTGAAGAGACAAAAAATAACTTACAAACAATGCAAAAAAGAGTTTCACACACAACGCGAGAGATAAGTTATGCATTACTTTGGCTGTCGCTTTGCCTCCTCTGCTCCATCTTAATGAGCTCCTCGGCGAAATCATTTTTCGCTCTTTTCAAAGCCCCGAAAACGGTCACTTGCGCTTCCACTGACTTATCCGTCACTTCGTCATCGCTGTCAACCGTTTCCTTCTTTCCATCTACTGACGCGTCGTAACCAGCCGTAACCAAATCTTTCCGAAATTTCAGCGGAATGATGTGTAGCAAGGAATTGTTTCTGTAGCTGTCACCGAAGGTCACTAGAACCTGAAATACAGAAACAGTTACAAATGAGAAAAACCCAAGCCCCAAAATACTGGCGGGGCTGAGAGTACTGTTGTTGCGAAACATCGACCTTAATGAGAGCCTAACAACAGAATTTCCAAGAACTGTTTGGGGAAGTTCGCCCAGTCCTGTTACACTAAGCCCTCCAATCCCGGTTTACTTGTGCCTGGCTAATAATCTCCATTATACATGTGCTATTTCTTACGAGGCCATCCGAGTGTAATGAAAAAAAGAGTATTTAAAAAAGATTATGAAAGTGCAAGAAACAACCGAAAGGAACCGATGACATGCAGCACACACAAAAAAAAAAAAAAAAA